AGAACCTGGAATAAAATCATCGGCGTCAACTAAAAAAAAAAAGGCTGTGGGGTGAAACGGGATCCGGACAAAAGGCCGACATGGACAAAAGGCCGACACGGACAAAAGGCCGACACGGACAAAAGGCCGAAAACTAAAAGGCCGACAACCAAAAGGCCGTCATAAATAAGGCCGACATCCAAAAGGCCGACAAGACAAAAGGCCGACATCCAAAAGGCCGACAAGAAATAAGGCCAACAAGACAAAAAGCCGACAAGTTTCATGAACCAACAAACTACAATTACAGACGTGTTTAATTTTATTTTTATTAAAAACCAGTTACATAATGATAAAGTTTCTTTCCGGCATCCCCCCTCAACCGTAAAAGGCCGATCCCCCCCGAACTAAATAGAATTTATACAGAAAATATATACTTTACCAGTGTCCATCCCCCTCCCCAAAAAATATAGTCCGCCCCCCCCCCTCCCCTTGAACATAGTGCCACATCGGATAAAAAAATCTGAAAGAAACACTTCTGACATATCTACGGTCAAACTCCTTGAATCAGGAACACCGTGACCGGCATGCTAAAGCATATGTTGACACCAGACAAACCACGTTCTGTTTTAAGCCGAGCCAGTGCAAGTATTGCCGGAATTAGACAATTTGTCTTGCTTTATACCGGCACAGTCAGCCCCTGCCAAGCCTTTAAGCCGCGCAGACCGCAACAGGATGTAGACACGGGTCATTCTGGCCGCTAACTTGCCGGACACCAGACACGTTTGTTTCCAGATATTTAATCCATCCCCACACCCCGGTTAATCCCATTATCCGGTTAGAGGGGGGGGGAGATTAAGTTATCTGACACATTTTGGACTTAGTTTGGGTATCAATCTTGTAACTTTCCGGTTTTACATTCTAGCTCCATCATTTGACCAGTCGGTCGGCGTGGTCGAGTAGGTGGCTAAACCTAAAATTCTCGAGTTCGAACCCTCGAGCAGACGAGGCTCGTTTGCTGGGGGCAGCAGCTCTTCTAGGAGAGACAACTCCAAAATCAAACAACTGCTGCCTTGTTGTTTGTTCTTGGTTGGACAAAGGCTATGGAAGCAAATCCAAGAAGAAAAGCATGTTGAAATCGAAGTGAAATGGCGCTTAATCAGTTGACACGTACAATTTAATTCTGTCATAGGGAATACCTTTCAACGCTAAAATTAAGAACGACGAAGAAGAAGACCAAACTGACTTATATTACATTCTATACCAAGACACAGTTTAATATTTCTCATTAGAAGGGCGAGTTGAGATTTACTTTTTACTTAACTAACAGTGTAGAAGCATACGTACATAAAAACAACAACATTAGACATACAGTGTTATTTCAATACAGGTGGATCTAAGCTGAAGGCGATGTTTGTGGTTGTATGCTCCACAAGGAGTAAAGAAGACAAGTCTAATAAGTCAAATGGTTTCAACAGGACAAAGATACAATGATTTGCTGTACAGACAGAACGGCTTTGTCATATTGGACTAGAGCCTACTACATCAACTGGCATTGACTCGCTAGAGGCGTAGTCAGGGAAGGGCGGGTGGGACGGCCGCCCCGGGCGCCAATCGAAACGGGGCGCCAAACGGGATAAAAAAATCTTAAAAAGCTCATTATGAGCAGAATTACTGAATGATACACAGTCGAAGTAAAAAAAAAATAATTGATAAATGTTTTGCTTCACTGACTAACTTAACTGTTTTCAATTTTTGTGACAACATAATAACAACTTCCAAGAGATATTGATTAGTAAATGGGAGGGGGGGGGGGGGCTCAAATTTGATAGTTCGCCCCGGGTGCCGGAAAGAGTCGCTACCCCTCTGAGACTCGCCTCGCCAGTTAGCACAGAGAAGAGACGTGTATACGATCTGACCAGTTAGCTCCACCAAACTGAAGCTTTCCCGTGCAGCCAGTTTCCCTTTTTACTGTCGCATTAAGATTGTAACAAAGAATAAAAACACAAAACACGAGGTTACATTTGGCTAAATATTCGGGCGATATTTTTTTTTAGTCCAAACGTAGCCCGCGGATCTAGGATATAGACAACACTAGTTCGAAGATCATCATCTTTTCGGGCTCGTGCCCAAGACATATGGGGCACAGTTCATCTGCTTCAGAGACCTCGGCATATGAACGGATGGTGTGGTCAGTAATATGCCCATCCACTTCCCCCCCCCCCCCCCCCAACGCGAGTTAAGCACCCATCAGAGCTGGAGGGACTCAGGGACATTGTACTGATTTTAACCCGGATTCGAACTCGAGAATTTCGTGTTAGCAGTCTAGCGTTCTACCGCTGGGTCACGCCGTCCCATGCTAGTCTGAGAGAGGACAAAAACTTGTTCTGTGCAGTCTTACTAAACTCTTACAAGTACCTGGCTCAAGTAAGGGAAAGTCTAAGCAGCTTGGGAAAGAACTAACCACACCATCTCTCTACGTGCCGAAGTTACTGAAACAGGTGAACTCCAGAGTTTCTTCCGGGCATCTCTTCGGGGGGGGGGGGGGCTAAATTCATATAGTTTATATAGAAAATAGATACTTTTAACAGTGTCAGTGTGTGTCCCCCCCCCCCGAAGAAAGTCTACCGCCCCCCCCCCCCTCCCCGAAGATTTCAAGTGCCCCCCCCCCGGAGAATAAAGTCTGGAAGAAACACTGGTGAACTCTACTTCGTTGGGCCTTAAAGCGTAAAAGGGATACATTTTTAGTCAAAGTAACGCAGTTTTGTACTTTAGGAGTAATAAATTTTGTGGTCCACATAACGGCCCACAGAAGACATATTTTATGGCGCAGTTAACAAAAAAAGTTCAGTAACTAAATTTACCAGGGGAGGAAGGAAGGTCTGGTTCAAACCTTTTAGGTCCGAACTACCCCTACGGTCGAGCCGGGTACTGGACGGTGGGGTACGAGTTTACCCTGAGCCCTGAGGGGTGGAAGATAAGCCTAGTGAGAACCAAAGGACAGAAGCGACCGATACACGGTAATCAAACCGATACCCAAGCCGTGTTGAGGCCTGCCTGGCTAATGGGAGACACCTCCTGAGCTGGGGATGTCCGTACAGAAAAGAAAAAAAAGTTACTTAATTTTGTGGCCGTGTAGCCAGGGTTTTTTTTTGTTCCGGAGAGAAGAGAGAAAGAGGGGGGGGGGGGGGCACTTAAAACTTCCAGGGGGGGGGGCACTTCATTTTTCGGGAGAAGGAGGGGGGGGGGGGCGAAAATGGTTAAAGTATATGCATGTTTTTTTTTAGCATTTTTTAAGGCGTGTGAGGGGTGGGGTGGGGGTGGAGGAGAGAGTTTCGCCGTGAGAGATTTCCGAAAGAAACATTTCTTGTATTCAACTCAATCAATTTCGTGATCCACCACTAAGATCGGTTTACCCCCTATTGTAGTCCCCCAAAACTCCGCAGCGAATGAACTGAACGGAGGTTGATCTATCTCACCATGCAGTAAATGACTGAACGAAATGTAATCCACCAAAACTCCGCAGTAAAACAACTGGAGTGTGGGTTCGTCAAAACTCCGCAGTAAATGAACTGAACTGGAGTGTGGTTCGTCAAAACTCCGCAGTAAATGAACTGAACGAAGTCTGGGCCGCAAAAACTCCGCAGTAAATGAACTAAACGTCAAAACTCCGCAGCAAATGAACTGAACGGCAAAACGCCGCAGTAAATGAACTGAACGTCAAAACTCCGCAGTAAATGAACTGAACGTCAAAACTCCGCAGCAAATGAACTGAACAAAGTCTGGACCGTCAAAACTCCGCAGTAAATGAACTGAACGTCAAAACTCCGCAGCAAATAAACTGAACGTCAAAACTCCGCAGTAAATGAACTAAACGTCAAAACTCCGCAGTAAATGAACTAAACGTCAGAACTCCGCAGTAAATGAACTGAACGTCAAATCCTCCACAGTAAATTAACTGAACGAAATTTGCACTGTAAAAAAAATCAAAGACAAAGCCCGAAGAACGCGACACTTCACCTGGTAATCAAACACCTATTAACCTTTACAAGGATCGGATCAGATCGATTTATGAACACAAAAAAACACGTTTCATCACCCATGGTTTTTCCCAACTTGCCTAATAAATCAATAAATCACAATTTTTTTATCACCATTTTTTTTTCAACACTAACTACTAATTAAAGTAAAAATAGTATAAACATTTATTAACTCTTTACATCGTTTGTACAATATTATTAATATTTTTTCATTCTAAAATAATTGCGTCATTTTCGCTTGTTGAGACTCAAGCTATCAATTATTTTTGGTTTAAAACGCAAGAAAAGAGAAACCCTAGAGTCAGTCATTAAACTCTCTGTTTTGATTGGTTAACACGTGACTATAATAATAAAACGCTATAAATAGGCGTGAGACTTTTCGACCAATCTATTGCAACATTAAAACTAGAGCAAAGGGTTGCGCAAGCGCAGAAGCAATGATTACAGCGCGGTAGTGTTAACTTTCGTTTGCTCCGATTTGCGCTCTTAAATAGAAGACAAGTCTTCCGTCGATAGTCTGCAATTAAAAGCCGGTTCAATGGTATCTAGTAGTTTAAAATGCTACTAAAATCAATTTTGTTTTTAATCAACAGTGTTGCTTGCACGTGCATTGCTATGTGTAGGTTGCAGGTACTGGGACTTTAACGCTGTCAAGGGAGGGAAGCGTGGTACAAAAATGGTTTTTAAAACTTTTGAATTACCGGACATTGGTCGGACTATAGTTACGTTTTATTATGCTTTAAAATAGCATTTAAAAATTCAAGTTAAGTTAGTTTAAAAAGGAGTCCAAAAACGTGAATTTAAAATATTTTTTTAAACGTATAAATTTACCGATAAACCCAGTTTATGTTGGTGACAAAAGTAAATTTATAAAGACGAAGAGACGAAATTGATGCTCAATTCCAGTTGTCAATATTCACTCTATCGTAACTGAAGAGAAAAGAAAAGAAAGGAGGTACAAAATGATTTGGTAGAATTTCTTACCTTTGAAGCCTCTTGTCTTTGTCGATGAGAAACGTAGCTGAGTTCTCTATCTTTAATGCTTTCTTCTTTTTATTAAAACCTATCTTTCTTATTCCTACTTCAAGTCAAAACGCACTGAAAACAAAATTATTCCACAAATTGTTTCTAGATCTAACTTTTAAACAATTTTTTTTTGAAGTTTCCTGGATAAAATGTTGCACAAATCTTCCCCTTAGCACTTAATACTAAGGTTATAAAATACCTAAATAAAAAGGTTATATATATATATATATATATATATATATATATATATATATATATATATATATATATATATATATATATATATATATATATATATATATAGGCATATGGAATTCCTGCTAAATAAAAGCGAAGTTAAAATTAGTCTAGAACTTTAAAGTTAGCCACTTAAGTAAAAGCCACCCTACGATCTACTAGACGAAAAAGAACTCTATTCCTAAAGTTGAAGAACTAACTTGAAGAACTAACAGAGTTCTAGAACCAGACCCCACACGTGTCACAATTGAATGCTGCTGGGCGTAGGAAGACGGTCTGCCGAAACGCTGAACAAGCGCAGCGCCTAGCCGGGACGGCACGGATTGGTTCGTTTCTCATGCACAGCGTCGACTTATCGATTTTGGAAGCCATTTTGTACACTGGTTCTCAAATTGTTGGAGGGTATTTCTATTGAAAATAGCCGTTGATACCTTTACTTTAGTAATATTTATTTTAATGTGTAAATTTATAGTTAGTTTTCATGGATTATATAAGACTGTTATTTTTTTCCGAAAAAAGTATTTAAAGCATACTTTTTTCTTACTAATTATTTGTGTGTTTACGAAATTACATAATTTATTTTAGTGGAAAAGATCTCAAGCGGACATTCCCATATAAATGTTTGCAGCAAGGGTTCGGTGTGGTCGGAGAGATAGGGCGTATGATTGCTAACTGAATTGACCCTAGTTCGGACCTCGGGTAGATGAGTCTTGTTAGCAGGGGACAGCAACCCAATCTAAGAGAACAAAAAAAATCCAAAATGAAAACAACTGCTGCCTTGCAGATTGTTCTTGGGTGGACAAATCTGAATTGGAAGCAAATCCAGAAAGAAAAGCAGGTTGAAGTTGGAGTTAACAGGCCAAATGACGCTTATCATGTCGACACGTAATGGAGGTTGTCCATAGAATAGGGCTGGTAAGTAGGTCACCAACCAGTTCTATGGCTCATGCAGGTTTTATTGAGCCGGTGACTATTTACCAGCCCTATAGCCCATAGGGTTAATGTCCAAGTTATATTTGGTCTCGGAAATCACCCCGACTCCTGAACTAACCTTAACATTAATCCTGATCCACTCAATAATACTTACAACGATACTGCATAATGGAAAAACAACCCACCAATGCAATACTGCAGTCTCGATTACATGTTTATATGAACTCTTTAACATACACAATTCATTTACATAGCGCATGCGTAATTCGAGCATCATCATTTAACACTACCGTGGCATTTTAACACATTCAATGGCGTTTTTACACCACATATTTTCAACACTACTGGTGGCATTTTAACACACTCTGTATCATTTTAACACACTCTGTATCATTTTAACACACTCTGTATCATTTTAGCAAACTCTGTATCATTTTAGCACACTCTGTATCATTTTAGCACACTCTGTATCGTTTTAACACACTCTGTATCATTTTAACACACTCTGTGTTATTTTAACACGGTAGAAACATTCATTTAGATAAATTATTTTACAGACACCCTTCAAGCTTCTAAATGTCTCACATGTAACTCCAAGCGCAATTCTCCGGCAAAGAGACTTAATTTAAATAGCAAACCAAATTATGTGTTTCTTCCAGACTTTCTTCTCAAGGGGGGAGGGGGGGGGGGACTTGAAAATTTCGTGAGGGGGCGGACTAAATTTTCCGGGGGATGGGGGCGGTCACTGGTAAAAAGTATATATCTTCTATATAAACTATATTTCGTTCGGGGGACGGTTGACGTTTAACGAAATTAAGGAGGGGGGTGGGGAGAGATGAGATGCCTGAAAGAAACACATTGACCTTCTTGTTAAAGGTCACCGGCCAAAGCGAAAAAGTTCCGAAACGAACAACAACGACGACGTGTTCGTGACCTCAGCGAGCCAGTGGGATGGAGGTATCCGGATGTGGTCAGGCAGGGGGAGAGGTATGAGCGCCACTATGCAACACTTAACCACAGATACATCGCAAAATAGAGTAAGATAAGCTTTGAGTACGAATCCGGGTTCAAGTCAGTAGACGGTCCCTGAGTCCACCCAGTTCTGATGGGTACCTAACTCACATTATGGTAAGTAAAGGCGGCTGGGCATGGTGCGGACCACACTATCCCTTCATATGCCGAGGTCACAGAAACAAGTGAACTCTACTTCATATGCCCCGTGAATCGTCAGGTTTAAAAGGAAACTTTTTACATCGCTTAATGTGACTTTTGAAACCCAACGCAAGGAACAAAGAAAATTATATGAACGGAGCTGGATACTATACGACTGGTCTACAAAAGAACTTAAGTTCTACGCAAGAAACAAATGAAATCACAAGGAAGGAAGTGGAAAGTATACAACTGGTCTTCAAAAAACTAGGATCAACGTAAGAAACAAAGAAAATCATAAGGACTGGTGTGGAAAGTATGCTACTGGGATCAACCTATAGAGCAAACGAAAAATCGTAATCGGTACTTGAAATGTACTTTTCTTGAGGATTTCTAAAGCATCAGAAGACGGGAAAAGACGGCATTAAATTATGAAAAAGTCAACTATGGTGCCCCAACGAACTTTCCAGTGCTATGGGACAGATAGGTAGGTGGAAGTATTTAAAGACTATTATAGCAAAACCATATTCGCAAAATATTTTCTTAGCAGATTTTTAAATCTTAAAACTATCGTAGTTTTAAGGAGGAAACAGAGAAGAGAGGTGGAATGTTTGACGCCATTTTGATGAACAGAGTATTTGAGATAAATAAAACGCGAGGCAATCAAGGATCACCTTTTTGCGAGTACAAGTGTTGCCTTAAATCATTAATTGGAATATTAATCATATTTACAGGTCCATTTTATAATCCACGTGAAAAATATTTCCCAATCTGGGACTTAGGTTGTGGTTTAATCTTAAAGGTTGTGTTATATCTAGAATTGATTTAACAATTAGGATTAGGATTTGGTGAAGGTTTGGAGTAGAAGTATTTACCATAAGGCAGTACGTTTGTAATAAAGTCACAATTGATAAGAATCCAATTGTAGACGCCATGTATTGATTTTACGTGGGAAAAAATGAAGCGAGAAAGAAATAGTCTAATGCGAGCATTGTAAATCTCTGACTGTTAGCTGCATACAAAACTAATTTATTCTTTTGTAGATTTTTTTAAAAGAACAAAGATGGAATAAAGGAAGAGGGTAGGTACCCCATGCTTATTTACTGTGAACATAATGTGTGGGCGTAATCAAGATGTTGAAGGGGGGGGGGGGTGTGCTTTAATATTGGTGATTTTTTTTACAAGCTTTTTATTTAACTTGCTTCCTCTGTCTAGAGTCTAGATCGAAACGGGAGAGCGAAATTTTAGGCACTTCTAACCGATCAATTTCTCTGAAATTCGGCAAGTGGACCAAGACCCGATGACAATGCAATATGACATTAAATTACACTTAATTGGATGTCTAATTAATTGTTTTATGAATTAATAAAAAAATCTGAAATTAATAGGCTGTCTTGTCCCTGTCGGACCCCAGCTGTTGATGTTATTACAAAGTTATATTGAGTAGTTAGGAAAATGGTGAGAGGTTGGAGGTGGATGTGGGGTATAAGATCTATGACTCAGCGATAACTTGGTTCAAGCAGGAAGAGAGCATGATCTATAAGGAATTAAAGGTGAACGTTTAGGGCAGTGTTTTTTTAAAACTTGGGTTCGATCGAACCCCGGGGATTCGGTGAGTCAGTCTCAGGGGTTCGGCGGAGGTCAAGACACACATTCAGTTCATTTGAATCACAATCGGAATATGTCACTCCCCCCCCCCCCCCCCCCACCCCGTTCCCCACCGAAGTAAGTCTACCTGCAAATTGAATTTATTTATAAAATATAGGTTTACCAGTGTCTGTCCCCCGGAAAATTTAGTCCGCCCCCGTGAAAATATCAAGTGCCCCCCCCCCCCGGGAGAAAAAAGTCTGAAAGAAACACTATTTCGGTGAATGCACATATGAGCTAGTGGGGCTCGGTACCTCCAAAATGTTAAGAACAACCGGTTTAGAGTTAAACAAGAGTTAAGGCTACGGAAGGTATGAGTGGGCAAGAATATATAAAAACAAGAAATTAGTTTGTTAATTTTTGAGTTTGTTACAGGTATGTTGCAACTTGCTCGTTGTGGAGGGGGGGGGGGGGGAGTGTAGAAGTGTGGTGTTTATGGGAGTATGAGGAGGGGGGGGGGGATAAAGGGGGTCGATACTTTGGAGAGTAAGAAGAAATACAGAGGAAAGTAGTTGGAGTGTAGGTACGATTGTGTGTATTTTTAAAAAAGTGTGTATTGTTATTTGTGTGTGTGTTTGTGTGTGGAGGGGGGGGGGAAGCATCGGATTATGTCAGAATGGATATTTAGATACCCGTGTGAGAATGTGTGTGGGGGTGATAGTGTGTGTGTGTTTGTGTTTGTTTGTCTAATAGAAAGCTAATATGTGGGGGAGAGTGGGTGTATGGTAGAGTGTGTTATCTAGCTCCTAGGAAAGTTTAGAGTTTGGATTATGGTTTGGGCATTTCGCACATCTAGACATCGGGTGAAGGTTATTACCCCCTGTCGATTGCCCATCGGTTATTTCCCCTGTTGGTTACCACCCTGTGAAATACACCCCGGTTACCCCCCCCCCCCCCCCCCGACGCATTAAGATCAATTACCTTCTGTACATTACCACCCTGTCAATTACTCTCCGGTTAGCCCATCAACTCATCAAGATCAGTTACCTCTGTACATTACCCCCCACCCCGCCTTAAAACAAACTGCAGTAAGACAATACCTCGTTGTTAAATGTCTGGTTTTGTAAACACACATAGAGTTATCCCTTTCAGTATTTTCAAAAACCGTACCAAGCAAATGTGTTAACAAATATTTTCAAACGGCAATATCGCAGTAGAAAAGATCGTAGTTTTTTTCTTCAGGGGGATAACTCTAAAAAATATCAGTCCTATGGAAATCAAGTATATTCCCTTTAGTAACGATAAAAGTAATGCTTAAATATTGCGTACTAGTGAAATGGCCTGTTAGTTCAACAAAATGTCGCCAGTGGACAGCAGTAGCAGACATTCCGCCTTTTAGAATATATTGGAAAGTAGATCTAGATATATATTACCACACAATAAATCATATGCATTATTACTTTAAAACATTATTTCCTTCATTATTTCTACTGATGCATTCGGTGTTTTTAAAAATTCCAAAACCGTACTTAATGGTTATTGATATATTACAAAGAAATAGATGACAGCAGATAATGTGAACACTGGTATAA